AAATGATTCTGTGATCACTAATGAGGATAATTAGATGGACCAATATCCCAGAAATTGTAGCAGTTCTACTTTACCAAAAGTTATTCAAGTCAAAACTAGATATTTTTCTAAAACCTGTGTAGTTCAAACAGGAAATAATTTACAGAAGTCTATAGCTATGACATACAGGCTATTGGATTAAGTAGCCAGGAAAAGTCCCATCTGCTCTGATAATCTGTTTTTAAATATAGCCAAATTCAAATGTATATACACATATGCATGTACATGTGTATATATATATATACACACACACACACACATATATATACACACACACATACAAATAAGAATAAAACCTAGGGCAGGCTTTTCCGATTGTTCAAATGCTTTTTTCTTTCTGAGCAAGTGGGGGGAGCGGGGAAAGCAGCTTTAAGTACAGTGGTAATTGGTGCTACCAAAGAGCCTAAACGACAGCAGTTCCTGGCACTTGTCTATTTCTATGCTTGTTGCTGCAAAACATAATGAACTACAATTGATAGATGGCAAGAGGGCAAGTTTTATAAGCTTTGCTAAGTAACAGAGAATTACAAAGTCAGAACAAAGCTAGAGGGCATTGCTTAAGTGCTTAATTCTCAAGAATACAACAAACTTCTTAGGACTACTGCTTCCAACTAGCTCTTTTTAGCAGCTAATTCTAAGATAGATGTATCAGCATAACTACTGCTCATTTGAGCTGCTGGAGCTGATCTTCTCCAACTTCATCCTGAAATGCAACCTGCAGCAAGACCAATCTGCAGCTCTTCTTACATCCAATCGAACAACCGTGCAAGCCAAGGCAGAAGGAGCAAGGTAATACTATGCCTACAAGTGTAGCAGTGGAAACTGTCACTCTCCTGCTGTTCAGTGCAATCTGCCTGGACACCTACAAGAGAGTCCTACTTTCCTTCAAAGCACCAGATCCCAGCTACAGCTAAGGTAGTGAAGCCTCCAACAGAGGCTTGCTGCAGCCCAGTTTACTAGAAAACACTTCGGTTGCAGACAGAGCCTCTCTTTTTTTTTTTTTTTTCTTTAAAGACAGAACACTGAGCATTCATTGGCAGAAGACTTCACTGTAAAGAGGGCTGGGCTGCATATTGGAAAAATCCACTCCAGCAGGAAGAATATTGTAAGGTCTCCAACCTGCATCATTTCCTAAATGACTCAAACAGCACTATGCACACAGATGTATCCTATGCCTTATTTTATGAATTCCACACATTCACCAGTATCACTGTAAAGAACATTTACCTTTGCAAGTGAGGACCGTGTCTTGCAGTAGAGGATCTGGTTGAATGCAACTGTAACTCACATTTTCCTGCCATTCATAAGCTGCACAAACTGCCATCAGCAGTTCCTTTAATTGAATTGGAGCCTGGTTGTAGAATCAGGAAACATGTTTTCTACTCTGAGGGGAAGAGAATGTAAAGAGAGGCTGGCACATGTTCTTTCAGAATACATGTGTTCAACATTGATTCACAGGCAGATCTGAAAGCATTGTAGCAAAATGTGTACTGGCCAGAAAGGTGCCCAGTTATCCCAAAAAACAGATATGAGTGGCATTTGGTAAACACTGATGGAGATAACCAGACCCCGCCTAATGCTGCTCCTAAAAAAAATAGTTCAGTTTCCAGCCACATAGAAGAAAATTACTATCTCCTGATAGCACCGGGTGCTTTTAATGTCAATAGCTCAGTTGTATCTGCATTATCCTTTCCATAAAACACGGGGCTGGAAAGGCCTTCCAGACCTCCATTTTCTAAAATAAGTTTCTTTTCCCCATAGCTCCAATTTGGAGACTTTTAAAGGCTCCCTGTTATGAGGATTATAAATTTTTATCTTGTTTCCAGACTAAGTTCATTCCTGGCCCAGTCATACCCTTTTGCTCTTTGACTAATGCTATCCTTTGCTTCAAATATGATTCTGTTGTTCATTCCTGTAGTGTATTTATAGATGGAATCTTGCCCCTCACAGGGTAGACTCTTTCCTTCTCTCATAAAGTGGGTTCCTAAGATGGCTGGGAAGTGCATAACCTTTTTCTGCACTTTTTTCAGAGCTAAGAACCTGATGCAAAACTCTAGATAAGATTTCATTCCTGC